GGGGGGGGGGGGATGGGCGGGATGGGTTTAGGTGGAGCACGCGTATTGGCGTTGTGCTGTGGCGCCGTTTTGTCACACCATCCACATCTTGTGCCATGCCTGAAAACAGTCGTCATGTGGATACCACGCCGTGAAGAACGCAACACGCAACTACGGCAAAACCGGCCGCTCTCAACCAAGGAAACATAAGTCAATCGTGAAAGAATGAGAAAAAAGGGTGGGAGGAGGGGGAGGGGACGAACCGAGAATAAAAACCAATGCTCAAACTTTTCCATCAGAGAGAGAGAGAGAGGGGAGGAATACGCACGAACCTCGTCTGCGCGAGCAACCCGATGAAAGAGCCGCCTCCGGTCGCCGCCGCCGAGGCCTCCTGCGCGTGCGGGCCGGCGCCGAGGCAGCCCATGGGCAGCGACATGCGCACGGGCATGGTGTCCACGGCGGCCCCATCGACATACAACGTCGTCCTCGCCTCCGCCACCGAGGACGCCACGATGGCCAGGTGCACCCACCGCCCGGTCGGCACCACGAAGTCGAACGCCCGCTCCTTCTCCCCGGCTGCGCCCAGGGACACGCAGAGAGCCTCGGAGTGGACCGTGCTCCTCTTCTCCCCTGCTTCGTCGCCGCCGCCGTCCCCGCTCTTCTCTTCCTTGGAAGAAGCCGGCGGCGGCCCGTCCATCTTGATCTCCCCGACCACAGAGTCGGAGTACACCGTGCCCCCCGCCTGGAGCCTGATGTGTCCGGCCTGAGAGGAAGCCAGGTACTCCGCCGGCTCCGTCCCGATCTCGCCCTTGCGCGCCGCCGCCGACTCGTTGCTCGCGACGCCGTCGGCTCCCCCCGCCGTTGGGTCGGCCTGCTTCGGGCTTCCCGGCCCGCGTCCGTCTCCGCCGCGGCCACCGGCGGCCCCGGGCGGCGACATCCACGCCGGCCGGAAGATCTCCTGCCCGGCACCGCCGCCGCCGGTGGCCGCTGGCGCGGCTGGTGGGGGTGGCACTTCTCTCCTG